CTTTTAATCTCACCAGGCGCTAGCTACTCGGTGGTTGGGAGGGGAGATAAAGTGGTCAAAATTATTAGAAATTCTCACCCCTCGGCATCTTCTAAGAGTAAAAATAAATCACGATTTCATTTTGCACCAGACTCCCTATTTTGGTATTCTGAAAATAAGAGTCACTGACCTATGTTATTTTTTCAATGTAAACCCTGAAAAGAGTAAGTCCGGTCCTAATAAAACATGGGCCCAAAAGGATGAGTGGAAGTTGTATTTGCCAACTTGAGAAGTAAATCAGCCTCCTTTGGAGGGTTCTTTTCCCTCAAGTGTGGAACTGAAAACCCTGGTCCTTTCAGTTGACAAAGGCCAATGACATCAAGTTTCCCAGGGCTGCTTCTAAACTAACACAGGAGGGGAGGGGAGCGGAGGAGGGTGTCCCCACCCCCTCTGTTTCATTTGAACTGAATACTTGTCAGGTTAGACCAGCTCCCACAGTCATGGTTTCTATAGCCAAGGCAAGGCAAAATCTTGCAAATCAGTGCAAATCCAAGAGATTTGTTAAACTAATTTCCCTTCGGCGCCCTGCCCCCGCGCTATAGGAATATATTCAGCAGTGGGAGAGAATCTGACTTCCATCTATACCCCATACCATTCTATGGATGTGAGATTTTATGTTGTGCAGGTGTGAGAGCAGAAGAAATGAGTTAGCAGATACTACATTACATCTCAAACAGAATTCCATTATTTTATAGAAAATAGGATCATTTACCTTAATTCAAAATTGGAAATGTCTAACAGCAGTACCAATGAAGACAATTGTTTATTATTCTATAACAGGATTTTTTTTTTTTTTTGCAAAATTATCTTGATTTTCTGTTAATATGGCTTAAAGAGTAGCATTAAGAATTACTTCATGTACTGCAAAGCCAGCAGAGGGAACACTGAGTACTGATTTAGTAGAGGCCACCAAATATCTGGTATTTGGGGGAAAAAAATGTCAGTAATGGGGAACTGGTTACAAAGCATATGAATTTAGGTATTAAGAACACAGAAATCTTTTCCCATTGCTTGGTTTTCAGAGGCCCGATACATTCCAGCATGCACATGTTTACTGGGTTGGTGAGAAAGGTGACTTTAAGAAAAGCTAAATGTCTTACATTTGGAAAGAAATACTCACATGGAAGAACAAATGTACTTTAGTAGTCTGAGCGTTCATATATACCATTATCACATTATAAAGTCAATGGAAATGACTAATACCATATTTCTTCAGTTCTGAGAACTCCTTTTCACTTCCAACATCTGTGAAATAAACAGGGGCAGGATGATGTCTCTTTGGCAGTTATCTTTCCTTACTTGCATGGAACGATGGTGTATCTTTTTTTTTTTTTTTTAAGATTTTATTTATTTATTTATTCATGAGAAACACAGAAGGACAGAGAGAGGCGGAGACACAGGCAGAGGGAGAAGCAGGCTCCATACAGGGAGCCTGACGTGGGACTCGATCCCGAGTCTCCAGGATCAGGCCCTGGACTGAAGGCGGCGCTAAACTGCTGAGCCACCGGGGCTGCCCACGATGGTGTATCTTAAAATCCACTGGATTTGTTAAAATCCAAAAATACATCTTGTAATATGTAATAGAAATAGATCAGTGAGTGGCTTTTTTTTTTTTTTTTTTTTTTTAGTATCTACTTTGGAAAAAAAAAACCTATGTGCAGGGTGCCTGGCTGGTTCAGTCAGTGGACCCTGAGACCCCACATTGAGTGTAAAGATAACTTAAGAATAAAAATCTTAAAAATAAATAAATAACTTGTGTGCTTTAAAGATAAACAAAATTACTAGGGCTACTTTGATTAAATCCCACTTTTCCCCATCATTTTCAGCGGTGAAAGCAGGACTGGTTCTAGAAATGTCATCAATTATGTTGATAGTCACCCTGACCGAATTATCACAAAATAGCTACATTCTCAAATCATGAGTTGGTACAAATCTCAAAATATAGTATTTATTCTCTCTCTCTTTTTTTTTTTTGAGTGAAGATACTGATTTTATAAATAATAGGCCTCTTAGAGTAATTTTTGATGTCAGAGTATAACATTTAGGGTTGTTCAGGTGTTTTGGTGTGCATACCAAAGAAAATAAAACACATGATGACACACCCAAGTTTGTTACATGCAAAAAAAAGATGCCTGTGGGTTTTTGTTTGTTTCAGATTTGTTCCCCCTTCTAAAAGAAAAAGTATATAACTTGGGTAGCTAATGGTCAAAGATTACTTGCTTTTACTCACAACATTCTTGCTTGTGATTGATCCTTACAGATCCAGTCAGATGTCTCCAGAGGGTGTTCTTTCCAGTAAAATTCTAAATCGGACAGCCTGGGCCTCTGGCCAGCCTACATACTTTAAAAGTTTGACAAGATAAATAGAAATCTGCTGCCTAGCAGTAGTTTGATCTGAATCAAAAGCTTACTTAATTATGTTGGGTTGGCCCTACCTAACCACCACCTATCCCTGGCCTATAGAAAAACAGTTTATTATTACGGCATTAAAAAAGACCAATTTTTACCAAAACTCTAATTTTCACACTTTGGAATGGAGGTAATTTTTGTGGCCAAACAAACATGTATCTGATAACCTATGTACCTGTTCTCTGCCAGATTCTCCACAACACTCTTCACAAAGTTCCTTTCGTTTAAAATAATTAAGACCACAGGATTGCCACTGTTGTCCTTGGACAGTTCACATCATGTGATATGTGATTACTTTTGAAATGGCTCAGTCAGCAGAGCGAGCTACTCTTGATCTCAGGGTCCTGAGTTCAAGCCCCACCACAGTGGGCGTGGAGCCTATTTAAAAAAAGAAAAAAGAAAAAAATTCAGTGACCATCCCCAACTTTGATCTCTTGGACAACAACATGCTGCTACTACTAGAAGGAGTGTCTCTGGCATTTGAATTACCACCAACAGAGGGATAAGAGCATTCACTGAGGGCTTACTTTGCATCAAACTCCTGGAACCCTCAAGACAACCCTATATAAGGTAGCTCCTAGTGTTCCCATATCACAGATGAGGAAAACTGAGACTCAACCATCTCTACAGAGCACAAAAACAGTAAGAGGGACTGACATCCACGCCTAATATAAATCCCAGGGCTCCAGTGTCTTCTGCTGCCAGTTACACCATGTCCTTTCCCTTAGCTCAATTTGATTCAAGTAACATATAAGTAACATCGGAGGAATACATAGGAGAAAATATGTGTAAAGGGAAAGCAAGAAGGGTTGAGGGGTGGGGAGAGAGTGCAGCACTTTAATTTTGAAAAATATGGGAAACGAGTATTTAGAAAGTAAAAAAAAAAAAAAAAAAAAAAAAAACGATCCCAATCCTTTACTCGTCGACATTACCATCCTATACAAAAACCCTACGGAAATTCTCCCCTTGAGTTAAGTATGGAATACTGCATAATGTGTTCCAACGGAAAGCTCCCCTGTTTGGGCTATCCAGGATTTATAGAGGAGTTTAAATCATTAAGTAACCATAGTTAACCCCTGCTTGGTTAAGAGCGCACGCAATTACTGCAAAAATTCCTCTTCTCTGCCTTCCACAAACAGCACACACACACACACACACACACACACAAAATTGCTCTGAAGGGATCTACACAATACATCAACATCTGTGCTGTACCTAGAGCTGTTAAAATAATTGTGATGACAGGTGTCTAGGTACCACTTTCTTAATGGTTTTCAATATCCATTGATTTATTGTTGTGGCTTTCCTTCCCCCTTTTACATCCTTGGCTTTATGAAGGATCCGAGGAACAGATTTTGCACTAGAGGCTGATTCTTTATTCCAGTACTGAAAAGAACTAATAAAAATAATCACTTGGCTTTTAAGCAGAAAGCTTCCATTTACAGTATTTCACCCTTACCCCCCTCCCCACTTCCAAGCCCCTTGTTATCTAACATAATGGTTAGAATACATTTCCGTCTCTCCCCTTAATAATTTCGTGCATTAACATCCTCTTTACACACCACACACACACACACACACACGCACGCGCGCACACACACACACACACACACACACAGAGCAAAAGGAAAAAAAGGCAGCAGAAATCTCAGCTGTACTTCTAGCCCTTTTAAAAAGTTTGCTCTCTAAATTGGAATGAGGTCAGATTTGGAGCTTCTCATTGCACGCGGAGATTATTATTGCATCGGGTTCCAAGCCAATGGGAAGGCCGGGGGCGGGGCTTGGCACGAGGAAGCAGCGGCTGATTGGCCGTGGCCAAGACTGTGAAAGGATAAAGAGGCGCGAGGCGGAATTGGGGTCTGCTCTAAGCTGCAGCAAGAGAAACTGTGTGAGGGGAAGAGGCCTGCTTCGCTCCCGGGTCTCTAGTTCTTGCACGCTCTTGAAGAGTCTGCATTAGAGGAACTCTGCCATCACCAGCTCCCTTCTTGCAGAAGGGAGGGGGAAACATACATTTATTCATGCCAGTCTGTTGCACGAAGGCTTTTTGGCTTCCTACCTTGCAACAAAATAATTGCACAAACTCCTTAGCGCCGATTCCGCCCACAGAGAGTCCTGGAGCCCCAGAGTCTTTTTTGATTTGCATTGTAGGGAAGGGACTAAGTGATAGAGACTATGTCGCTTTCCTGAGCTCCCGAGAGCGCTCGTGAACTGGAACCAACCGCTTCAGGGGAAGAGAGAGAGAGAGAGAGAGAGAGGAGAGAGGAGGAAAAAAAAAAAAAAAAAAAGACTTGCCTGGGAGGCGGCGAGAAACTTGCATTGGAAGCTCCAGCAGCCAGCGTTCAAGAAACTCCAGACTCAGAGCCGAGAGACGGCGCAAACTGCGGCGCGGTGAGAGCGAGCGGCAGAGGGAGGAGGGAGGAGGGAGCGCCAGCCTCTCCAGCCTGGGAACTATAACTCCTCTGCCAGAGGCGGCCGGCGCGCTCCTTCCCCGCATCTCCTGGAGACTTTTCTCCCTGCGCCCGGCGCCGGCCCGGCCAGGAGTGGCGGGGCCCGCACGGCCGCCGCGCGCGTCCTCCCGCTCGGCGTGCGCTGCGCCCGGGGAGCCGGGAGGGCCCGGCGATCGCGCCGCGGCCGCCGCGAGGGTGTGAGCGCGCGTGGGCGCCCGCCGAGCCGGGGCCATGGTGCAGCAAACCAACAACGCCGAGAACACGGAAGCGCTGCTGGCCGGCGAGAGCTCGGACTCGGGCGCCGGCCTGGAGCTGGGCATCGCGTCCTCCCCCACGCCCGGCTCCACCGCCTCCACGGGCGGCAAGGCCGACGACCCGAGCTGGTGCAAGACGCCGAGCGGCCACATCAAGCGGCCCATGAACGCCTTCATGGTGTGGTCGCAGATCGAGCGGCGCAAGATCATGGAGCAGTCGCCCGACATGCACAACGCCGAGATCTCCAAGCGGCTGGGCAAGCGCTGGAAGCTGCTCAAAGACAGCGACAAGATCCCCTTCATCCGGGAGGCGGAGCGGCTGCGCCTCAAGCACATGGCTGACTACCCCGACTACAAGTACCGGCCGAGGAAGAAGGTCAAGTCCGGCAACGCCAGCGCCGGCTCGGCGGCCGCCGCCGCCGCCGCCTCCAAGCCCGGGGAGAAGGGCGACAAGGTCGGTGGCGGGGGCGGCCACGGGGGCGGCGGCGGCGGGAGCGGCGGCGCGGGGGGAGGAGGCGGCGGCGCGAGCGGCGGCGGCGGGAGCGGGAGCGGCGGCGGCGGCGGCGGGAGCGGCGGCGGCGGCGCCAACTCCAAGCCCGCGCAGAAGAAGAGCTGCGGCTCCAAGGCGGCGGGCGGCGCGGGCGGCGGGGGCGGCGGGGGCGGCAAGCCGCACGCCAAGCTCGTCCTGGCGGGCGGCGGCGGGAAGGCGGCGGCCGCGGGCGCCGCGGCGTCCTCGTCGTTCGCGGCCGAGCAGGCGGGGGCCGCGGCCCTGCTGCCCCTGGGCGCCGCCGCCGCCGCCGACCACCACTCGCTGTACAAGGCGCGGACTCCCAGCGCGGCGGCGGCGGCGGCGGCGGCGGCGGCGGCGGCCGCGACCTCCGCCTCCGCCTCCGCCTCCGCCGCCCCGGCCGGCCTCGCGGCGCCCGGCAAGCACCTGGCCGACAAGAAGGTGAAGCGCGTGTACCTGTTCGGCGGCCTGGGCGCCGCGTCCTCGTCGCCCGTGGGCGGCGTGGGCGTGGGCGCGGGCGCCGACCCCAGCGACCCCCTGGGCCTGTACGAGGAGGGGGGCGCGGGCTGCTCGCCCGACGCGCCGAGCCTGAGCGGCCGCAGCAGCGCCGCCTCGTCGCCCGCCGCCGGCCGCTCGCCCGCCGACCACCGCAGCTACGCCAGCCTGCGCGCCGCCTCGCCCGCCCCGTCCAGCGCGCCCTCGCACGCGTCCTCGTCCCACTCGTCCCACTCGTCGTCCCACTCGTCCTCGTCCTCGACCTCGGGCTCCTCGTCCTCCGACGACGAGTTCGAAGACGACCTGCTCGACCTGAACCCCAGCTCAAACTTTGAGAGCATGTCCCTGGGCAGTTTCAGCTCGTCGTCGGCGCTGGACCGGGACCTGGACTTTAACTTCGAGCCCGGCTCCGGCTCGCACTTCGAGTTCCCGGACTACTGCACGCCCGAGGTGAGCGAGATGATCTCGGGAGACTGGCTCGAGTCCAGCATCTCCAACCTGGTCTTCACCTACTGACGGGCGCGCGCGCGGGCCGGGAGCAGCGGGCCGGGAGCAGCGGGCCGGGGGGCGGGGGGGCAGGCGAGGAGGAAGGAGGAAAAAAATGAAAAGAGAGCGCGAGAGAAGTGGACGGAGGAAGAGTCGGAAGAGAAAAGGGAAAGAAAAAAAAAAATAAAAAGGAAAAAAAAAAAAAAAAAGGGAGCAGGGCCGGCGCGGCCGCCCGAGAGCGAGAGCGGAGCGCGGCGGCGTTTTGGGGACCCGCGCTCCCATCCCCCACCGGCCCGGCCGCCGGGACGCGGCGGAGGCGGCGACGGGGGCCCGGGGGGAGGGGGGCGACCTTTTATTGTTGTTCGTGATGTTGTTGTTGATGGCAAAAAAGCTACTCGGAGTTTCCTCCCCTTTGCCCGGAGAGACACCACCCCCCCACCCCACCCCCGACTCCCCACTTCCAGCGAGCTTCCGGACTTGTCTGCTGCGCCCCCAGCAAGAAGCCGACTCGGTCGTCCTTTTTTTTTTCCTAGAGACTGAAGGAATCTCGTCCCTTTCTCATCGCCCCCAGTCCCCCACCCCCCACCCCCCACTTTGCTGTTTTTGTCTTTATTTTATCTCATTTCATGGTCAAGAGAGGAGGGGAAAAAAAAGAAAAGAAAAAAGAGCCCAGCGCGCCCCCGGGGGTCTGGTTCTCCGCGCCCTCCCCCGTGAAGAAGACCCGAGGCTCCGGGCGTGGAGTTGGACCCGCGGCGGCCGCGGCGGATACGGGGCGGGGGGGTCCGCGCGGGCCGGAGCGCCGGGCCCGAGACTCCACGCTGGCGGATTCCCGTTTTGGTTTTTTTTTGTTGTTGTTTTTTGGTTTTTTTTTTTTTTTTTTTGCTCCTGTTTCCCTTTATTCCCCCCCCCTCTTTCTTTCCTCCTTCCTTTTTTGATTTTTCCTTGCCCCCGCCCGCAGCCGGAGGAGGAGGAGGAGGAGGAGGAGGAGATGATGGAGATGCGGGGCGCCCCGAGAGCCCCCGGCGGGGAGCCCGGCGAGGGGCGCGCGCGGGGCGGGGCGGGGCGCAGGGGGCAGGGCGGGGGGCGGCGGAGGAACTGGGACGGATTTGCACGTTCTGGGGCAGGTGGCGCGTCCCGCCGGCCCCCGCCCCGCGCGTCCCCGACCTCCGAGCGGTGGGACGCGGCCCGCGGGTGCGCAGAAGCGCGGACTGGGCTGTGGCCGCGGCGCCCGGGGGCGGGCCGGGCCGGGCCGGGCCGGGCCGGGCCGGGCCGGGGCGGGGAGAGAGGTTTCGGGCGGTGGGGGGGGAAAAAAGAGGTTTTTTTTCTTCTCTTAAAATCGGAATCGTGATGGTGTTGGATTATTTCACTGGTGGGGTTAATATAGCATGTTATCCTGTCTATCTTTTAAAGATTTCTGTATAAGACTGTTGAGCAGTTTTTAAAATAGTGTAGGATAATATAAAAAAGCAGATAGATGGCGCTATGTTTGATTCCTACAACGAAATTATCACCAGCTTTTTTTCATTCTTAACTCTTTAAAGGATTCAAACGCAACTCAAATCTGTGCTGGACTTTAAGAAAAAAAAAAAACCACAATTCAGGACCAAATTTTTTCTCAGTGTGTATGTGTTTATTCCTTATAGGTGTAAATGAGAAGACGTGTTTTTTTCCCTCACCGATGCTTCATCCTCGTATTTTTTTTTCCTTGTAAATGTAATCAGATGCCATTTTATATGTGGACGTATTTATACTGGCCAAACATTTGTTTTTTTTCCTTATTTTGTCCCTTTTTTATTTTAACCTTTCGTTGGCGCTCTTTTCTTTTTTACTTCCTTTATTTCTTCCTTCCTTTTTTTTTCTTTTTTTTTTCTTTCTTGCTTTCTTTTTCTTTCTTTTTTTTTATTTTTTTTTTTTTTTATTTTTGGTAGTTTGTTGTTACCCACGCCATTTTACGTCTCCTTCACTGAAGGGCTAGAGTTTTAACTTTTAATTTTTTATATTTAAATGTAGACTTTTGACACTTTTAAAAAACAAAAAAAAGACAAGAGAGATGAAAACGTTTGATTATTTTCTCAGTGTATTTTTGTAAAAAATATATAAAGGGGGTGTTAATCGGTGTAAATCGCTGTTTGGATTTCCTGATTTTATAATAGGGCGGCTGGTTAATATCTCACACAGTTTAAAGAATCAGCCCCTAATTTATCTCCATGTTTACACTTCAATCTGCAGGCTTCTTAAAGTGACAGTATCCCTTAAACCTGCCACCAGTGTCCACCTTCAACCCCAGTCTTACAAAAAAAAAGGGGAGGAGAATTAGCCAAACACTGTACGCTTTTAAGAAAAGACAAAATCTTTGAGTAAAATACTGTTCTGTCCAGAGGCTTTAAAACTGGTGCATTTACAGCAAAAAGGGATCCTGTAGCTTTAACTTGTAAACCACATCTTTTTTGCACTTTTTTTATAAGCAAAAACGTGCCGTTTAAACCACTGGATCTATCTAAATGCCGATTTGAGTTCGCGACACTATGTACTGCGTTTTTCATTCTTGTATTTGACTATTTAATCCTTTCTACTTGTCGCTAAATATAATTGTTTTAGTCTTATGGCATGATGATAGCATATGTGTTCAGGTTTATAGCTGTTGTGTTTAAAGATTGAAAAAAGTGGAAAACATCTTTGTACATTTAAGTCTGTATTATAATAAGCAAAAAGATTGTGTGTATGTATGTTTAATATAACATGACAGGCACTAGGACGTCTGCCTTTTTAAGGCAGTTCCGTTAAGGGTTTTTGTTTTTAAACTTTTTTTTGCCATCCATCCTGTGCAATATGCCGTGTAGAATATTTGTCTTAAAATTCAAGGCCACAAAAACAATGTTTTGGGGGAAAGAAAAAAAAAGAAAAAAAAATCATGCCAGCTAATCATGTCAAGTTCACTGCCTGTCAGATTGTTGATATATACCTTCTGTAAATAACTTTTTTTGAGAAGGAAATAAAATCAGCTGGAACTGAACCCTAAATCTCGACTTTTGTCATTATTATGCTCAAAGCCTAAGGGTGGGAGGGCCCTCCCGGGTAGAAGCCACCCCGTCCTGTCCGCCTTAGCTCTGAAACGAGTAACTCCTCCGGGGGCAGCCTGTTAAATGCTATTTTACTGAGGAATATGAAGTTCCTCTGGGCCAGATTTGGCCTGCCCTGACCCCGAAATGACGGCGTCAGCTGAATATGTGTCAACTCTACATGCTTTCTAGGAATTTTCTGAGTTTGCCACATTTAAATAAATGCCCTTTGTCTTAAAATTTTAAGAACAGTGGGGGAAGGGCGGTGCGGATCAGATCCTTTACAGATGAAAACTGATGTGTATTTTTAACCTTCTGTTCCTAAAGCTCCTTCGCTTCCCCAGAGTCACCACCCGGCAGTGGCTAGAATCAGTCGCTTCACACACGGATGAAGATCAAATAAACCTGTTACATTATCTATTAATATATTGTGAGAGGAGGAAGCCATCGCTACTTTCAAAATGGGAAAGTTGCATAAATTTTTCCCTCCAAAGCAAAGAGGTTCACATGGTGCTCAAAATCTCCCATTCTGTGCTATGCCCATTTTGTGGGTTATTAAAACGTAAGAGAAATGCAACAATAAAGATGTCCTGGAGAAGTTGGCTCCCTGAGGGCTGAGAGGAAATCCAGCCCTCCTCCCCCCTTGGATCTGTGAATAGCACGCATTCAGCTAGTGGAGATTTATACTTTTTATATGCATCTGGCACAGCAGTATTATTGAGACCTGTTTGCAAGGAGTAAAAAAAAAAAAAAAAAAAACCATTAGTCCTTGGTTTGGAACCTGCAACTTGCTAAATAGCAGTATTTCCTGTCTGCTTTGGGAGTTAACTATTGCCATTAACAAAACCCATCCAGGCTTCCAAACATTTGTTAATTAAAAATGTGTGCTTTGTGTGCCTTCGAGTTCTTTAGCACCGGAGAGAAGGGGTTAATGAGCAGAAAGTGTTTGAAAATAACCCTCTTTAACCTTCAGGTTTGAAGGGAGTATCCTTCATCCCAGGAGATTCTTGGAGACTAGTACAAAACAAGCATTTTTATTTTACTTTTTTTTTTTTTTTTTTGTCCAGTGAAGAGCAGTAATGCCTACCTCCAAAGTAGTCTAACTGTTGTGTTACAATATAACTTCACCTTTAAAAAATGATTATAGCTACTAGTTTACAATTTTTTCTTGTATTTTGCTAATATGGTTTTAATTGCATTTGTGTTCTGCAATTTTAAGACCTCATTTTTTTAGGAAGAACTTACGGTACCATGGCATCTTGAGTCTCTTCAAAAGCTTTTGCAGAAGGAGGGAGGACTCCTTTTTTATAAAGTGCTTGAATTTAATTTTTGTTCACTGTAGTTACGATAATGTGCTAGTTTTAGTTTTTTCAGATCCGAAATATCAAAACCTTGACCTTAAAATGAAGCATATGTGATGCACTTTTTTTACATTCTATTTTGTAGGGTTCTCCTTCCAGAGCTATGTATTTCCCCTTCATGTTCCATGTAAGGGCAGATGCTTTGAGTATTTTCTTTACGAATTTTGATAATGTTCCTTTAAAAATAAAGGCTCAAATGTGTATGTCTTCCTAGCAGCTTATAGAGTAAATGTAAGAAACATTTTTGTACTTTCCTCTGAAGCAGTTCTCATTCATGAGGGATACTACCGCGTTGGGTGGTACAAGGCATAATAAGCCTGAGAAACCAAACAGTTTAGTATGGCCTTTCAGGAAATTTGGATGAACAGAATACGTTTCAGATTTTAAGACTATCAAACCATTTTTCTTTAAATCCACTGCTTCTGGCCCTTTGGCTCCAACAGAAATGTGAATCAGTAATAGACTTGCTGATGCAAGTTTTGTCACTTCCTAGCTGAGTACCTGTAAGTGCCAAGAAAAAAACACAGAGCATGTAAGCTGATCCGGTAGGCTGAATGCCTAAAATGGCTTCTTGGATTTGTGATCCAACTTCTCTGGGGACTGGGGATGAGGGTGCTGGAGACATTAAAGGGATTCTGAAGAAAGTGAAAGCAAAGGGTTGGAGAGTGGACAGCAACAGAAGTTACTAAGTATTTCCTGTATTTATAGGGTGCTCGTGAATTAGAAACTGTGGTTTGGGGAATGCTAAGGGTCAGAATGCTTAGTCATAAATTTAGAACAATTTAAGGA